TTGCATCGGGAGTGCTGCTGCCGGCGAGCATCCTAGTGGATGTGAAACTGACACACGGTAAGGGCGGAGATGCAGGATGCAAGTCTGGACGTGAGTGTGAACGAATCGCTGCCCAACAGCAGACCATGAAAGGGACCAGGATGCAGATGTGGGGCGGGTGGAGCCGGGTGGGGGTAGGTTTCCCTTTAAAGAGGAATGTAGTAAAACCTCCAACAGCAGGAGCTATCTTAAGTTTTCCCGTGTGGCACATACGGAGGAGGAAAGGACCTGACAGCTGCTGCTTTTTGGTGGCGCTGGGGATGGAGCCCAGGGCTTTGGTGCACACTCGGCAAGTGCTCCGACACTGAGCCTGGAAAAGGGTTTGTGCTTTGCCATTTGGTTATCAGATTGGTTTCTCCTCACGGCTGTGAGCAGGGACTGGGATGGAGAACAAGAGGGAAGGGCGTCTCGGGGTTAGTGCCAGCAGTGGGCGATGCCATACATACCACCCAGGTGCAAGTCGATGAGGCCACTGTAATAAGACTCTCCCCAATAGTCTACAACAAGGAAGTGGTGAAGACAGAGTTATTGGGTAAGACGACCCTGCTGCCACCCCAACCCAAAAGCTATCAAACGCATGGCACATATAAAACAGGCAGAAATATCATGAGGGAGCCCAGTGGAGCAGCTGGAAAGCGTGCATGTCTGTAAAGCGAGGCATGCACACACACAGGCCATCTCTGCAGCTCGGGGCATTGTGGGAGGGGAGGCATGAACCAAACACCACTATGGATGAAGAGGCCAGTCAACGTCAGGGAGATTTCTGTTTGCAACACGACTCATCAAGGATGGAACTTGGCTTCGCTAGGAACTCCAACCCTGCCGGAAGGCAACCTTACCCAAGATTTAAAACAGTTTAGGGGCAGACCAGGGGCCTTCTCTTACTTAGTTTCTGAATAGTAAAGGCTCCAAGATAAGGTTTTCAGGATGTGAACGTTAAGGGGGTGGGGGGGGGGATAAAAGAAAAAAGAAAGGTCCAGAAACCAAGGAACTTGCAAGTGCTCCCATTAGTGGCAAGCATGTGCTCCTTCGCTGAATGGGCTTGAGATGAAGTCCCTTGTCTTCTGAGGTCTAGGTCCCCCATCTTCGGAGAGCCTTTTCTTTCAAGATAAGAAACGAGCTGGGACACTGGCAGAATTTCAACCCTATCTGCTCTGAGGCTGCTGGCCACAGGCCATCCTGTCCAGCAGTGTGCTGTCTTAATGTGCCCATGGAGCAGAGGGGGGCCTGGCAGCAAGTGGGTCCTGAGCTAGCAGTTTTTAGGGCCCAGAATCATAAAGAAGCCCAAAGCGCACCAAAATGTCTGCCACCTCACCATATGGATGCTGACCCAGGCAACCACAACCTTCTCTTTTAAGGATGGATATGTTGGAAAGCTGAGTGCCCTCCGGTGGCTTCCTGGCTTGTGTTCAAGGCCAGTCCAGTGGCTCTATGCTTGAGTCAGAGTTCTAGAAACAGAGAGGCTCCCTGCAGATTCCAGGACAAGGCCACAAGTCTCAGCCTCGCCCTAGTTTCCAGGGCTATGGAGCTAATCCGCACAGTCTGTATATTTGGAAGTCTTCGACAAATACAGGTTACCTGACGGCACCTCAGGCCAGATCTCTCCTATGAAGGGCATCTTGGCTAACAGAGAGTGACCCCTTTGACACCAATGGAGGCTTGAAACTACCACATGAGACAGGATGGCAGGCTATGACCAGTTTGTACAGCTCAGGGAGGAAGTGGAGTTGTACTGCTAGAAGCTGTTGCATTCCAGGTACATGAGAAGGCCAAGTGGAATGAACGGCCTGAGACGAGAGAAAGGTACCGCCACTGTGCACACCCAGTCTCTAAGACGCTCTCTGCCAGTAAGGGACAAGGTCACTGGGAACTGATACCAGTCCAGCCCCGCGAAGAAAGTGTTAAGTATAAGAAAAGGAAAAGAATGTACTTAGAAATACAGATGCGTCACAGGGTGACGTGCACCTTCAGAGACAGTCTCACCTTCCACTCCAGGGGGCTGTGCAAAGATCTGCCTATAGTCAGGGGCTGGACTAGAACAAGGCTATCAAACTTCTGCTGAAGCCTAGGGCTCTTCAAGGGAGGTCCCAGATACTTGTCCACAGTGACTTTTAACCTTTGAAGGACATAATGTCCTCCATGTTCAAGGGCTTCACATGCCAACTGTTGACACACTGGAGACCTCCAGGGAGCCTGCTTTTGAAGGACTCTCAAGTCTAAGCTTCTTTTGCTTCATGTCTAAGAATTCTGAACTTCTCATAAATACATTAGTAAGATGTTAATTCAAGTCCTGCTGGCAGTGACAGAGATCATGTACCACTGTCCAGGGATCCTCGAGAAGGGTGTGGCTTAGAAGAGTTGACTTCAGAGTCCACTGCTGGTACGGTCCTTCAGATGGCTCACGCATCATGCCAGGATAGAGTAGTATATTTGGGATTTCTCTTTATGTTTGGAAGCTTCTTGGTTATGATTTTTAAAATTTTGTTTTTATTTTATGTGTATGGGTGTTTGGCCTGCATGTATTTGCATCACATGCATGCCTGGTAGCTGCAAAGGGCATTGGATCCCTGGAACTGAAGTTACAGATGGTTGTGAGCAGTCATGGGTGCTGGAAACAAAATCCAGGTCCCCTGCAAGGCCACCAAGTACTCTTAACTGCTGAGCCATCTCTCTAGCCCCTATACTTGGGTTTTGTTTTATACAGAATCCGAGCTGCTGTCAGCTGGTGTATCTGTGAGCATCTATCATATGTGCAGACACCCAGAGAGTCCCTGGTGAGCTGCTGAAGAGAAAAGGCTCCCATTTAGAACAACCACATGTCCCTGCTGGGAGGCCCTCAGAGCGGCACTCGGGCAATGAAGCTTCCGAATGTCTGCAGCTCTCTCTGGGTCATGCACTTTCCAGCTTGTGTGTGCGTGGTTTTTCAATTTTTAATAAACATTTAGAATAATTCTTTTGGATTTTAGCAATTGTGTACAATGGGCTCTCCTGCCAAAGCAAGTTGAAAACCACTAAGTTAGGAGAAAATCAGGGTGTGTGTGTGGTGTATGTGTGTGCATGTATATGTGATGTCTGTGGAGTCCAGAAAAGGGAGACAGCTGCCCTGGAGCTGGAGTTATTGTGAGCTGCCTGATGTAGATGCTGGGACCCGAACTCTGGTCCTCTGTAAGCACAGTATGTGATCTTACGTGCTGAGCCATCTCTTGGGTCTCTCCATCAATTTATCATGGTATCATTTTCTGGCTCACTGGTAACAACTGGAGTGATATGCCTTTTACAGAAGTGATGAAGTACAGAAACAGACTCCAGTTGCATGAAACCTTAAGCACTTTCCAGAAACCATCAACAAATGGCTATCTCCTTGAGCCTCTGAACCTCGTGAGCGGGAGAGACAGAGCGCTTTTGGGAAAGTCTATGACATGAGCTCATGCACTAGACAGCAATGCCAGCTATTGTTGTGGACGTAGCTGTCCCTTAGCTGAAGTCAGATGGAGAAACGCTGCAGGTTCCCCTTTGGCCTTTGTGCACGGAGAGGTAGCGGAGGGGACAGGCCTTTACAGTTGTGTAGCCCGGGATCTCCAGAAGGAGGGCTAACCTGCACCATGGCTCGGGCTGCACTGAGGAGATCAGTCAGAGGAAGTGGGGCAGGGGCAGGCCTGCAGGCTGGGGATGGGGCACAAGCTCACTGGGAAGCCAAGAAAATATGTGGGTGAATCTTTTCTTCACTGCTTGGTACGGGAGCCAGTGTCCCTTGTCTGGTTGTTCACAGTCTTCTTATCTTGCTGGATACAAAGTGACTCAGGCTTTTGGACTCCCTTTAGAAGCATGGGCTCCAAGAGTTAGGTCTAGTGTTAGGTGAGGCACAAACTCATCCTTCTCTCTCAGGACACATCTTCACCTGAGGGTCATCTGAAGGAAGGGTTGTGTCTGTGCCTGCCCCGACTCTCTACTGGGAACTCCACTTGCAAAATTGGACCCAGGCCCACACCTCGAGGCTAGACCACTGGCCAGTGTTCAGAAAGCCCACGAGGCAATGGCTGGCCCTGTCTGACCTATCAGTTCTTTTGGCTTGCCTGCCCAGGAGGTGTACGAGCTTGCTTTCCTGTGTCTGGAAGGAAAAAAATAAGAGGCCCTGTCCCTTCCTTCTTTGTAGCTTTCCATCATGAATGCTAGACCCAGAGGCCAGTGGCCACCTGCAGAGAGAAGAGGGCCCCCTTCCAGGCCTGGATCTTAAGGAAGCAGAGATCAATCATTCCATGCCTGAAGCTGGGCTGACCTTGAACCCAGAGATGGCTCAGCTACCTCATCTTCTGTGTACCCACCTGTATCAAGCCTGGCAGGTTCTGACCACATGGCCGTTGTAACAGCTTTCCATGCCACAAGAGCTTATCACAAGCATAAGTCTGTCCGAGACGGCTCCTAGTGACCAGCCTTTGGCGGACACAAGCCTGGGCTCACCCAGGGAAACCGGAGTGCAGGGGCAGCCAGAAGCCCTACACAGGAGAGGAGGCAGGCTCTGTGGCTGTGCAGCTCAGGCTAGAGGGAGCCCAGGGAACTGAGGACAGGAGGAGCACTTGGGAGGGCAGGCTGAGGCCTGTTCAGTACAGTTCTGTGATGGTTCCTTGTGGGACAATCTCCCTCATTCCCTGATGTTTTCTTTTAGAGAATACGGTAGGGAGAGGAAGAGAAAGGTCAGGGCGTGCCACCAACAGGTGACAGGGCCCGGGATTTTGTTCTGCATGGCAACAGCAAGCTGGGGAACGGGCCGGGGAGCGGGCCTGGGTGTCTGGGCTGCCCGAACATGATAGGCGCCAGACCTTGACGATGCCAAGGATTCAGAAAACCCTGATAGAGAAAGAGCTGAATTTCAGAAGAGGTGCTGCCCACCTGGCTCACCCCAGGAAGGAAGGAGGGCTCTCTCCTTGAGAAGAAGCCCCCTCATAGAGGAGGCCGGACAGTACCTGCTTCGCCTCGCAGGGCCTTCTCCACCGCGACGCCCCTCTCCTCCAGCTGCCTCTGCTTCTCCTCCACTTGCTCCAGCTGCCGTTGGATGATCTATCGGAAAACAGAGGATAAGCTTCCAGACTTTTCTTACCTCTAGCTTCCAGGAGGAGAATCAAGCTGCAGGCCCAAGGTGGGAGAAAGATAAGCGTTATCAAGACTGAACGGGGCGTTACAGTCAGTGTGCTGTGCCAGCTGCATGCAGCTGGATCCCGGGGCTTATTATCTTTCCCTGGAATAGCTCAAAAGCATCGAAAATGACTTAATTGAACCTTTATAGCAAGGAGGCTGTAAAAGCACTGGGTGGAGCAATTAGACGTCCTGTCTCGATAAGTTAGTAAAGAAGTGTCTAGAACAATCTAGGACAGCGGTTCTCAACCTTCCTAATGCTGTGACCCCTCATGTTGTGGTGACTCCCAACCACACGAACGAAAATTGTTTCCGTTACTGTGTCATAATATACTATAATTTTGCTACTGTCATGAATCATGTAAATACCTGTTTTCTGATGGTTTTAGATGACCCCCAAGAAGAGGTCATGACCCCCAGGCTGAGAACCATCGGACTAGCCTGTGCAGCTTGAGGATGGAGGCTGACAACCAGAGGTCCTTCTGAGCTTCCCTATAAAACCCCAGACTATTCCGAGCAGAGGTCAGGGCCACAAGCTGACCCCTGACACTACGGTTAAAAGTGAACTTGCTGAGTCTACATCCACTCTAGACCAAGGCCTCCAGAAAGCTCAAAGCAGGGATCTTCTGTTTTGTAGAGAGTGCCACAAAGACCGGCCTCTGTAGAGCGTGAGGCAAAAGTACTTTGAGGTTGTCATCTTGGAAGCCAGGAATGCCCCTCTCTGCTTCTGCCCTGGCTTCTTCACCTTCCTGGCTGTAGACGAGGCCCTCTGGGCACACAGATGCTACTCCACGCCCACCTGCACGCGGCGTCCCACTGCCCGTGTGTACCTGGGCTCGGTGCAGCCGCTTCAGCTCCTCCTGCTTGGCCTGTCTCCGTGCTGCCCTCTGCACGCGGCGCGTCAGCTTGGCGCTCAGCTCCTCTTCTGTGTAGGTTCTGGGCTAGAGAGGGCGAGAGAGGGCTCCTAAGCCAGCTGCGTGCAGGCGGAGGCTGTCTGGATGGCAAGCTGGTGAGGGTACGAGGAGGACTGTCCCCTACATGGGAGCTGCTGCCTGGCAGCCAGCTGGGCATGGCAGGTGCAGGCGCCTCTGCTGAGGCTAGGCCAGAGACCTCAATGTGAGACGTTTACCTCTGTGGCAGGAACAAGAGGCTTAATTGAGGGTGAGTGTTAGAAAAGTCAAACTCAGACAGACACACTCCTTTGGCACTGAGGTCGTAACTGCCATAAAAGCGTGTCTGGGTTTTTTATTTGTTTATTTTTGCTTATCTTTTTTTTCCCCCCACAAGACAGCATTTATCTGTGTAGTCCTGGCTGTCCTGGAATTCACGATGTAGACCAGGCTGGCCTTGAACTCACAAAGAACCTCCTGTCTCTGCCTCCTGAGTGCTGGGACCATAGGCATATGCCACCACCACCTAGCATGTGTGTGTGTGTGTGTGTGTGTTTTAAGGCATTGTGGTGGTTTAAAAAAAACAAAACAAAATAAAAAAAACAAAAACCACCGTAAAATGTTTCCCTAGGCCTCATATTCTAAGGCCTACAGGAAAAAGAAAATGTTTGGAAAGTGAGGGTTCTTTTTCTGTCTTCTTTGGGATTCCTCTCTCTAGGTGGGAGGGGTCATACCAGTTTTAGTAGCTAACATGTGAAGGAGAGACGGCATGCATGCCTCCATTTTATATCTTGGTGAACTCAGACTAACAGAGGCTGAGAAAGGAACAGTGGCGGTGACTGCTTGGATGTGCAGAGGCAACCACTGTGGTGGCGCGCAGGGGTAGAAATGACCTCGCAGGGTAGCTGGAGTGGTGCCTGTGGGCTTGCAGGAGGCAACTGGGCAAGTCCCATGCTGATACGGATGGATGTGCTAGCCACCTGTACACACAGGCCACCACACTCCCAAGCATTCGGTGATGGGACATGCTCTGGGCAGCCACCAAAAAGCACCAAGTGGGGGACTGTCCTCTTTTGTGAGACCCTATTTATTTCCTCTAAAAAAAAAAAACCAAACAAACAAAAAAACCCCAAGAGACTTTTTTGACCATGAAGGAGATGTAGGAGATGTCTCCATTCAACCTGGGTCCAGACTCATCAGCTCTCCTCAAGGAGCTCAAATGACAGCAGTAGATCAAGTGAACGGGCAGAAGGATCGCCACAGCATCCCAGTGCCCTAAGGGTGCAGAGTGGAGGTGCTGACCACCCCTTGCTGGGCTACCCAGACCCACAGGGGCAGCTCTGCCCCACCCTTGGTGACATGCACTCCAGCCAAGGGGAGAGGGACCATCTCCTCCTCTTTCTGTGACTGTGACAGCTGCATGCACGTATGACAGTTAGTGAGGACGTGGCTGCAGGGCCCAGCAGGGCTGTCCAAGTGGTTAATCACAGACAGGCATGCAACGAGGACCAGCCAGCGGGAATGAGACACTACCTTTGATGAATAGGCTCTCCTGAATGCCAAGGCGTGTGGTACATAAATCGACTTTTAAGGGGATGGCAACGGAAAACAAAACAGAACAGTAATGATAATGATGATTAAAAATGAAAATGGAATACAGAAATGGAACAAAATCAGTTAGAGGCTTAAACAAACACAAGACTTAATCACACGATCGTTCCTCACAATGCCACACAAGACTGCACAAGACGGAACCCAGGGGCACAGACCCTATCAGCTGAGTCTCATCAAACCCTACCGTTCAACAGAGCGGGCGTTCACTCTTCTATTCACAAAGCAGCATACCCCGAATCTTGTGTCTGTTCCTCGTTGAACCCCAGTTTGTTGAACGGTGTGGTGACTGGGCTTCCTTCACCCGTAACCGCCCCTTCCCTCATGCTCCTGTCATTGAACGGTCAGCATGGAATGACAGCTACAGGCGGGGAATGGGCACTGACCCTTACACACTCTCTCGACAGGTTCTTGAGCCTGGCAGTGTTCTCGAGCAGGGCCAGACAGGTCACAGTGTGAGACCTAGCTGTCCTGGGACTAGCCAAACTTGCTAATTCAGAACTATACCCGGTGAAGGGAACCAAAGTGGCATAAATCACTGTGACTCAGAAAGTACCAGTGTCAGGTAGCCATGGAAACCTCTTCACTTCACACACTGCTCTTGGCCAGTCTCCTTTGCTTTTGTGGTCTTCTCATGGGTTGTATGAAGCACCTACAGGGCCCCCGTAGACCCAGGCATGGAGGCAATTGGAATTTGCTGGTGTGCAGAACAGAGGGACGCTGAGGGTGGCACAGTGGGGACCCACACAGGATGTCACGTGCATGCTGGCTGGGAAACGAATTTGCTGCTTTTAGCTCTGCGCACAGGCATCCTCTCCCCCACAGAGTGGAAGTGAGGTCCTCATGCAGAACAGGGCAGTTTAAACAGGAAAAGTACAGCGGAGGTCCCCAGTGGCCTGTGCAGACACACTTCAAGAGCGCTGCTGACACGTGTATCTGTCTGCTGCCAATGCCAGCAGCCACAGCAGCCTCTTTTTATTAATTTACCCACCGCTGGGACTGGTACCAACTTGGCGGTGGCAGCGACAGGGAGGTGAATCGTGACACACTTGGGTAAACGGGGGTGAGTGAGGCTGAGAGCGTGGCGAGCTGGCTGCTGCAGGGGTACACAGCAGGGCATGGGGCTGGTAGAGGGCTGGGCAGTCCCTGTGAGCCTCAGTGACAGAGAAGTAGCTGGCCAGGCAGCACTCACGAGTCAGAGGGAAGCAAAGGACAGAGGCTAAGGAGAGGCTGACAAGGTTATCTCTTGCTGGCAGGGCTTTGGGTGGCTAGACAAAGCTGGATTCGGCTGGAAATGTCAATCTGTTAGTTTATGTACTTGTTTTGCAAGCATGAAGACCTTATGTAGGGTTTGAGCCATAAACCCTACAATAAAGAAAACTCGGCTTGATGGAGTGTGTTTGTAATCTTAGAGCCGGGGAGGTGGAGGCAGGTGGATCCCATCTCTCAGGACTGTCTGTACAGACAGACATCCAGTCTAGACTAAATGGTGAACTCTGTCATACATGCACACATAAAAGGTGACAGACACTGGAGGTTGTCCTCTAGCTTTTCACATGCATGTTACATACATGTGCTTGCACACAGGTAAAGACAAACATACAAACCCTGAATAATTTATTTTTGTATAACAGACATTTAAGGAAAAACAAGGTCTTGGTTTTATGTGTTTGTGCATCAGTATGGAAACCACACCCATGCATGACTCAGGGCCTGGGGCTGTGAAACAGAACAGGACCAGCTTTCACTGTATACTACACACTACACACTACACACTACATACACTGTGGCTGGAGGCTTCCTTTTCCAGGCAAATGAAGGCCAATTTTCACTCTTGGTCCCCCGATCCTGACACTTCTCATTGTGAAGAATTTCAAACCCAGAAACACTGAAGGAGGAAGCCACGATGCTGGAACACCCTTCACCTCAATTCCCCGATGGTGGTACTGCAGCAAGTGTCAGGGTGTGACCTTTACACACCCGTCTTTAGACACCAGAGACCCAGGCCCTAGAAGTTTGGCATGTATTTCCTCCTCAGAAGAGACACAGCTTCTCAATAATTACAATAGTGCCACCTGCTAGGAACTTGACATCAGTTTGATGACGGATGGCATTTAAAAAAAAATACATATTACACTTGCCATTCACCATCAAATGATCAACAGTTCCAAAGTGTCCTTACGATTTTATGGTTGTTTTGCTCCGGTTTGTTCTCCACTGTAGGTTCTGTATGTGTTTCCCCCACCTACCTTTGTTCATTAGATGGGATCTTGCTATGTATCTCTGGGCGGCCCAGAACTCACTAGGTAGCCCAGACTGGTCTTGAATTTGTGCAATCCTGCCTCAGTCTCCTGAGTGCTAGGGTTGCATGAAATCGCCATGCCCAGTGGGTTCCATATTTTCAGAACTACCATGCCCTGCCCTCACTCAGTGAGATGCAACATCATCCTAAGAGAGCCATGTTTGCCACTGCCCAGGCCCTGCTTGTCCTCAGCATTCCCTATGTGCCCACTAGAGAATGACCTTGTCCCTGTGGAGCACACCTGATGCATAAGGTGTCCAAGGCACTGCTGTTCTAGGAATCTGAATGGCGGCGCTCACTTGTTCACATAACTATGGTAATGAGCCCCTGGGTTCTTCATACCTGTGGTCATTGGGAGCCTATACCAAGATGATGGATTTGGCATAGTCAGTGGGGCATCCAGCACCCCCTCCCCACTATGGCAAGATGTCACAGTGGCAATCAGAGATGGAAGATCTGGCCAATGTGACACGTACCGTCTCAACATGAGCACACTCATCATGGAGGCCAAGGGGACTTTGGGTCACAATTTCTTCTGCCCAGGCTCCTTCAGGTCTCTAAGATAGTACCTGCTCCCAGTGTTGGGATGAGTTGTGAAACTCATGTGCACACCCACACACCATCCTTGGTTCAGCCCCAATGCCACTGCCTGGAAGACCTCGGTGGGCATACCCAGGAGCAACACATTGGACTGAGCCCCCACGGAGAGCACACAACTCCCGGTCCTACATTCAGACTCCTGGTGCAAGAAATGAGGCCTGGCTGCAGGAGGCTGAGAAGGAAGACCTGTCTGTGCTTCTTGGTGACTAGAAGAGTAGAGAATGAGGTATCGTCATGTCCAGGGAGATAAAACAGAAGGCGATGATGAAAATGCAGATAGGGGAATGAGTACCAATCAAGTCTGCTGGATAATAATCCAGAGGGAGTGAGACAGGCTGGAGGATGGACCTGTGACAGAGCGATACCATCTCAACGAACAGACACATATGGGCTGCAGAGCTACCTCAGTCTGCCCTGGCTGCTCTACAGTTCAAGGCTCTTGACAGAGGGGACAGCATATAAGTCCAAGTCTTGAGAAGTCACATCAAAAAGGTACGTGAGGGGGTGGCCACTGGTAGGTGCTCATGCCCCAGTGGATGACCCGGCACCAATGCTTTCAATCCGTGGTGCTTCAGGGTCAGTTCTTAAAACAGAAAAATCCTTTATTTAACAAATACACCAGGCAGTCAGCTTGGCCAGGTCTATTCCTAGGGATTACTGAGGAAGCCATCTGGTCTACCTCCCATCCATGCCTGGTGCCCAGTTCATACTTGCATGACCCCAAGCAGTACCTCAGCTCTTCTCCCATTGTCTGGCCCTGGAAGACACTGCTCACAGTGTAATGCCAGGCACCTAACCAACAGAGTACCCTGACTTCCTCAGACTGAGGCAATATCCCCAGCTGCTTATTTCAAAGGCCCGAGAGACCACTCTGTGGCATTTGCTGTTGGCTGGCACAGCACTCCAATGTCTATCTGCTAGGAGACCAGAGAAGCATTGGCTCTGCACCCCAATGGTCTGCTTCTCTACCAGAGACTAAATTGACATTTTGTCACCAGTTCTCTGAAGTCCTTCAGGGACTTGGCCCACCTACCTCTCGCTTGGACTTCTGGGAAGACCTCTCAAGGATGTCATCGCTGGACAGGTCTGAGTCCTCTGAGAAACTCAGTTGGCGCCGGAGCTGCAGCTCTGTAGGGTGAAAAAGAGGCTAAGTGAAGATAGCAGCCAGCACCTCATGCTGCAAGGAAGCCAGCCTTAGGCAGTTCTCTATTTAAGAATCCCCCTCCTACACAAGGAGACACGGGCTTGTCCCCAAAGGCGATGGGCCAACACCAAACAGCATTCTAGATACCTGTTCAAGACCCCTTAGCAAGACTTTTCTCCGTCCCACTCAAAATCAGGCCCATGTTTGGGGTCATGCAACCTCAGGAAGGATACCAACAGGAATCTACCCATCTGGTTTCAAGTTGGCATTAACATTATTCCGTGCAGTGAATCAGATGGAGGCAGGAACAGCTTGCTCTCCTTTCTAAGAAGCCATGCAGGAGTGGCATGGGGAGGTGGACCTTTGGTGAACTGAATGACTGCGAGGGGAATCCCCACATCTCTCCTGTGAGTTCCCTCAGCCACACATACCTGCTCTCACAATCGGAGATGCCCTGTGCTGGCCGGAGTCCACCGTGGCACCACTGGACGGGGTACTGGAGCAGGACTTCTCATCACTTTTTCTCTTTTTGTCCTTTTTGTACCCAGAGAAGACCGACTTCCACAGGGACTTGGGCTTTGCTGCCACTTCCTCTGGGAGGCCCAGGCTGGGTTTCTCTGGAAGTCGGCCTTCCCCTTTGGGTTTCTTCTCTTTCTTGTTCCTGCGGGGGGAGAAGAGGGACGACCTCTTTTTGCTCTTCCCACTGGAACCCTCAGAGGAGGTGACAGAGCCATCAGGGCCTCCTGAGTCTGATGGAGGAGAGAGGATCTCCTCGCTAGTAGCCTCATGCTTCAGAGTGGGTTCCTGGGAACCTCGGAAGCCTGAGCGCTTGGCGGACTCGGGTCCTAGTTCCTTGCCCTGAGATGGGGTTATGCGGGACCTGGAGGATGCCAGCTCCATGGCCTGCATCCTGCTCAACTGCTTGGCCATGGCATCTCGAAGTGCCTGGCTCTTCACGGACTTCTCCCGGGCTCGCATGCGCTCCTCAGCCAGCTCCTTGGCTTCTGCAGAGACCAGAGGCAGCCCCCTTTTCTGCGGTTGCGCATCACGATCCAGGGAAGGGAGCCGCCCATTCTCCTTGGCCAGGGGCTTCTCTGACCGGGACCAGCAGGAGGGGGGTGTGAAGAACTTCTCCTGCAGACTGGAGTCCTCAGTCTTGTCATCGTAAGTGTCCTCCACATCATCAGCAAAGGGGATCTCATCCACACTCTCCACGAAGGACTTCCGGACCTCCTCCCTGGGGGGCTGGGTTGGCTCCCGTGGGGGCCGCATGAATGTGGCAGGAGGAGGAGGAGGGATAACCGAGGCCTCCCTGCGCTCAAAAGTGTGATGGGGCTTCCTTCGCAGGGTTGCAGGCTCCTCATTGGGAGGTGGGGGTGGGGGTGGGCTAGAAGGCGGAGTGAGCATAGTAGAGTCCGAGGTGTTGAAGCTCTGGCTGCCCAAGGTCTTCATGTTGGAGGAGCTGCCATGGAGGCCCAGGCCCGAGCTGCTGGAGAGGTCCCTTCGCTCCTCCTGGTTGCTCCTCAGTTCCCTTTCAGAGGGCGACTTTGGGGTCAGCAGTGAGGGCTGGTCACCAGCTGACTTTGGCAGGCCCAACCTTTTAGGAACAGATGGAGGTTTCAGAAGGCAGAGGCCCTCTTCCTGAGGGGACTTGTCAACCGAGTAGGACTTTAGGGATATTGGCTTAAAGGCGGGTGAGGGGAGGCTGGGCTCCGACCCCTTGTTCCGGTCCACAGGACTGAGGCCCAGGCTGCGGCGGATCTCGGCGCTCTTCATCCAGAACTCCTCCACCAGATCACTCCGCTTCAGGGCCTCCTCCACAGCCAGAGGGCCACTGAGTCTGTCTTTGGGGTCTCCTTGGCTCTTCACAGGAAGTGGGGTCAAGGGGGTGGATGTTTTAGCTGGAACCGGCTGGAAGCGTATGGGGGACTCGGAGGGTGACGGGATGGAAGCATCCGAGGAAGGTTGAGGCTGGGAACAGATGGGGAGCTGGGTTGAGGGCGGTGGGGCAGGGGCCAGTGGAGACTCTGGCTGCAAGCGGGTAGGTGAGGTAGGTGTCCTGGCTTCCGGCAGGGCCACAGGCTGTGACCGGATGGGCGAGTGCACAGTCTTCTGATCTGTGGGGGCTTCAGCTTTGGGCTTTTCTCTGGGGAGCAGAGGTGCAGGGAAGAGGGGCTCCTCAGGGGACTTCGCCTTGGTGGTGACAGAGGTAGGTGGGGACGGGGCCCCCTACACAGAAAGAAGAGACAGGGAAATCAGCACCTCCCTCAGGGAGCGTTCTCTCTCAAGGGGCCTACACTGGTGGAAGCAAATCAAAGTCCTGTCCATCCTTTCGGCTATTACTCAAAGGGTTGCAGAGAGGGCCGACTCATTTTCTGCTCCATTTATTAACGTTTCAAACCCCTCCACTTACCTGGGGGGGGGGTGAGCTTTCAGGGATGGCTCATCTCATGCACATCCTGGGTTCTTAGTCCACTCACGTGAACACTGCCAAGGGCACTAATGAATTTGGCTTTCATCACAACCCACAATAACTAGAGCTCTGGGGTCCCCGAGGGATTATGTGGGGCTAATGTATGAAAGGATTTAAAGTTATTACTTAGCACAGTCCTCCTCTCTGGCCACACTGTCCCTCTGAGGAACCATGGAGACGCACACAGACCCTTAGAATACCCACCCCAGGGTTGCTCACTTCTCAGGACAATTACTGGACTGCGCCATGTTGCCTGGAGCCCCAGAGACCAAGGCCTGGCTTTGATTCCTTCCAAGTCTGCCCTGCAAGTGGTGCCTCCCAGACTAAGACCCTCAGACAGTGATGTGGCACATTCCTGGTCGCTCTCTAGGTGGTTCTGGTGATCTCAAGGCATGGTTTTCATTTAAATAGTTATATGTTTATTTTAACATAAGGAAAAAACATACCTTTTATAAACTATAGATGCATACATATCAACTTAAAAATAAAGAAAAAAAAAAAAAGAAAAGAGTCCTTGCCCATCCACAAGGACTGAGGCAGCACCTGAACCTGCATGTCATCAACAGCTGTACACAGCACAAGATAGGAAACTTTTAGAATTTCACAAAGTTAGGTGGCGATAGGGCTGCTTCCCCTCTCTTTGTGGAGCGTACACCATGGGCCCTAAGATGGGGTCGTGTCTCCTGAAGGTCTCAAGGTCCCACTGACAACCCTGTTCCCAGCCCTACTTACCTCTGCCTCAGGGCTGTGGGTTGGGGTGAGCAGAATGGCTTGTTTCTGAGGTGACTGGCTAGGGCTGGAGACTCGGGAAGGACCTGGAAAGGAGGGACACGGAGGTTTCCGATAGGAGTTAAGTCCCTTCCGCTCTACATATACTAGGGGTAAGGAACAGCCAGATCCACAGAGGGTCTCACACTACAGCCAGCCCCTCGCTGAGGAAGGAGAGCAGGGACTTGGAAAAGGTTAACTTGCACTGTGTCCTCGGGTCTACCCTTAGGCTATTCTAAAAACAAACAAAAAACCAAATGAAGGGACTCAAGGAGGGTGCTGCCGCACCCTGCGTGCTCCTGTGTGGCACTGTGGTCATTATGTGTGGTGGCTACGATACGGGCCTTGAGCTTTGTGATGTCTTTATTCTCGTGCTCCCACACAACCCAAGGAAAGGTTAGAGACCTGTGGCCCCAGACAGGCAAGGCCCAGATCAGGCATGATTAGGGTCCTCGCCACCCATAGGGCTAGGCATGACAAGCTCTATTCTGAAGGCCTCACTGGTATTACCAGCATGCCCTGTGACATTCTGGAAGTCTTTCCTCCTGCCCCCCACCTCTCTCCTCTTGCTTTGGTGTATCAGGCGGCTTCTCTTCCTCGTTCTCTGACACCCTCAGCTCCAGCTCGGCTTTCGCCTTGGCCTGGCACTGTAAGCGAAGTTCCGTCTCGGCGTCGGAAGGAATGTCATCAGACCAGTGTTGATCTGGGGGAGGTAGGTGAGATACAAAGTTTTACACATTTGAGCTCTGGCTGTGTGCCTTTTCTGTGTCCTGTTTCCTTAGAGAGAAGTCTTAGTGGGATGATTCACCGTGGCGTGAGGTCTAACCTGGGTGCGTAGTCCCTGCAAACCAAGCCTCTTACCAGAGATAAATCCAACACAAGGCATCCATCTTGCCTTCTGAGTGTGGGGTTTGTGGAGACTTGTGGTGTTTTTGGTGTGTCTGTCTGTCTGTCTGTCTGTCTATCCTCACCCCTCACCTGTTTGAAGGCCAGAGGTTGATGATGGTTCTTCCCATTGCTCTTTACCTCAGCTTTTTGAGACAAGATCACCCTGAACCTGGAGCTTGCCTTTCAGCTTAACTGGCCGGCCAGGCTCCACCCTCCTCGGTGCCCGGCCGGCATTCACACGGGTGTTAGGTAGCTGAACTCACGCAGTCCCGCCTGTGCAGCAGGCACTTTGCCCACCGAGCCAGCTCCCCATCCCATTTGATTACTTGTACAACACAGTGACCACGACGCAAGAGGCTGTGACAGAGGAAAATGACCACCAACTACCACCACCAAAACCCTTTTTGGGGTGCCCGTGGACTCATTTCCCCGTTTCTTTCTCCAGTCCCAGAGTTACCCCTACCCCAGCTGTCCCCCTCAACTTTTGCTATCTTTTGTGAGTTCCACCCAATCTGGTTCTGTTCCCCATGTGTAACAGGAGGTCACAGAAGGAAGGCTGGGCCCCATACCATCCAGCTCGGCACCAGTGTCCCCAGGGTCCCCATCCTCTGCAGCTTCCCCTTCAGTCTCCGCTGGCTCAGAATCCACGTCCTCTTCTAGGGGGGCTGTAAAGCAGAGACATTCATGGACGGGAAGCAAAGGACAGACAGACAAATAACTGTGCAGGGTGCAGAAGGTAGTGATGCACAGGCCACGGGGAGAAGGGAGGCCCCGGACAGATATGGAGTGCGCTCTATAAGCAGCGTGGGTACCATGGCCATTTCTCCACTCTAGTAGTGCCATGTGGAGGGAGAAGCACAGTTTCTGGCCTGGAGGTATCACCTCTTCCTCCAGAGGCTGCTGCCGGAGATCCTCCAGTCAGTCACAATCAAGGGATGCTGTGGGGCCATCGGCAACTCTTAACAGGACTTTATATAACAGGCCCAGTGATGGCCACTTCATGTGCCATGAGGTAGTCACTCCTCATCCTGAGGCAGCCGGAGGGGCTGTTCCTCATGGTCACCTTTGAGTGACAAAGCTTAGGTCTGAGGGTCAAGCGACTCACAGTGGGCTCTGATGTTCAGCTACATGGAGAGACTGATGCTTTATCCAGAGAGAACTGAGAATTTGCTAAAGCAAGAGGGTGGCCCTGAAGGGATATGTCAAGCTCCCTTTCTGGACTCAAGAATGGCTCTTTAGGGCCACAGAATAAAGTAAGGCATTCATACACTTCATCCACCCTGAGGCAGACGGACCCTGAGCTGTACGGCACCTGGGACTTGCCTGGGCCTGCAGAGGCTCTGCCTGGGGATGCTGCCAGCCTGAGGGCAATGCTTTTGATTCACAAGGGGAAGGCATCAAAGCACATCTGGACTGTCTCAAAGCTGAGGGGAAGGTGTGTGTGTGTGGGGGGGGAAGGCCAGGCCAACCTACTGCTCTGCTCCCAGTCAGCACGGGCCACTGGGGACAGGGTTGGGGCTGGGAGTAGGAGGCAGCACTGTGAAGATTCTGGGAATGCTATATTTCTTGATGTAGGGGGAGGCAGTTCTGTGAGTTTTGATTTAATTCTCTACACTGCACAATTTTTTGTATACTTACTTTTAGCACACAATCCATAAAATGATGATAATTCAAATCTATGAAAACCTTTTTATGTTTTTTCTTTTTTCCTGCGAACTGAACCCAGGGCCTTGTGCTTGCCCAAGTGCTCTACCACTAAGCTGAACCCCCAACCCCTTGTTTGGTTTTTTTTAAAGACAAGGTCTCACTACATAGCTCTGGCTGGCTTGGAACTTGCTATGTAGACCAAGCTGGCCTTGAACTCAGAGATCTGCCTACTTATGTCTCCTGAGTGCCAGGTTTAAAGGCATGTGCCACCATGCCCAGATGAACTTTTTCAAAGTTGAAACTGGAGAACTATGGCAAACACGCTGGGGAATGGCAGACAGCGTGGGGTTTAGGAAGTGGCAGCAGCTGAACAGTTAGCTTCAGCGCCTGCTCTTTCTGAGACACCAGAGCCATCCAGGGAGGGGGCAATGCCAAGGCACTCTCGTATGCTAACAACATTCGCTGTGTTAAATACTGGGGAAAAACCACTCAAGTATTCCCACAGGTCTAAAGCTTTCAAGTAGTCATGTTGCTTTGGGACGCTCACGAAGATGTTCACCAGAGAATGTGTGACTGGGACATTGGAGACACAGATACCCACTGAATAACACCCTGGGTCCTGCTTTAAAACTAGGCTTTGTACTCGGCTGGCGAGACCATCACTGCATCTGCCATGCTGGGGAACAAGAGGTCACTGGGAACAGAATCTGGGCCCACTGCAGACGGCCTTTGTGCACAACGTGCTTGCTCGAGTGCCTGGCACTGAGGTGGTAATCACAGTCTCTCTGGCAAGAAAGCTGGAAGCAAACACGAAGGAGACCACTCCTTGGTTCCCCCGGCTGGCCCAGTCTCGGCCAGCCTGGCCTGGTCTCTTGGTCCTTCCCAGTGTGCCTGAGAAACACCTGCTGTAGAGTTGGAAGGATGGGGATCCCACACGCCTCGAATTCCTCGGAAGAAAAGGCGGTCACACAGATCAACAAGCAAACACTCAGCTTTGGCGCAGCAGCAGCAGCGGATGTGTGCGGAGACGCAGCTAGAGCGATGGAACCGAGGGATGGAATTCTGGTTAAGATGGAGCGCTGTGCTGAAAGCCGCCACACAAGTGAGGAGCCACACACTACGGAAGCTGGGAGTGGCCATTTATCTCAGCTGCCTGCTAGGACATCCTTTCTCCTCAGTCTCGCTCTTCCTTCCTCTGCCTCAAAGAGTGATAACTCAGGGTTAGCCATGCTAGACTCCAAGTCCTCTCTCACCCGTGGACTCTCCTGCCACATATGTCTACTTCAGCTGCGTGTGAGGGCAAGGATGATAAAGGTCCACAAGCATCGTCCCTACTGGTCTGGAAGTGACTGCTAGGACACGGGTTCCCAACCGTATGTGTGTGTGTGTGTGTGTGTGTGTGTGTGTGCGTGTGTGTGCTGTCTCCTTTTTGGGGGGTTCCTGGGAAGAAGCCCGTGTCTAGGCAGGACTAGACACCCTGTATGGGACGGGCTGTCTGTCCCACCCCAGACGCCAGGCACCCTCTCCTTGAGAAACAGGTTTCTAGGTCGACAAAGGCAGACAACGGACTCCTCAGGTCACCTCTGGCCTGTGCACTGAGATGTGTATTTTGTCTGGGGACGCAGCTCAGGTGCCACCGGGCAATGCCTCACAGAGCTCAGCATCGGCAGTGTCCACCAGTCCTCGCCTCTCCCCTGAGGCAAACTTTCCAGGAATTCCTGTTCTGACTGTTCCTCTGACGTGTCGGAACGCTACCCGACTTCAATCCACACCCTACCCAGCAGTGCACTGCTACCCAGCTGCATTCTATAGGCACAGAACTTCATAAAAAGCTTCTTTCACAAAAAAAAAAAAAAAGAAAGAAAAAGAATGCCAGGTGGTGACAGTTTACGCCTTAATCCCAACACTCGGGAAGCAGAGGTAGGTGGATCTCTGAGTTTGAGGCCAGCCTGGTCTATAGAGTGAGTTCCAAGACAGCCAGGACTACACAGAGAAACCCTGTCTCAAAAAAAAAAAAAAAAACAAAACTGGGCTGGAGAGATGGCTCAGTGGTTAAGAGCACGCCTACTCCTTCAGAGGTCCTGAGTTCAATTCCCAGCAATCACATGATGGCTCACAACCATCTATAATGAGATCTGTGTCCTCTTTTATCTGATGTTCTCTTCTGTCATGGTGGCATACATGCAGATAGAGCACTCATATGTATAAATAAATAAATATTTTAAAAACAAAACAAAAAACAAAAAAACAAACAAAAATCCAAAAACTAACCAAACAAAAAAGGCTTCCTGACAGACTGTGGTGGCACACACCTTTAATCCCAGCACTTGGGAGGCAGAGGAAGATGGATCTCTGTGAGTTCGAGGCCAGCCTGGTCTACAAAGGAATTCCAGTACAGCTAGGGCTGTGGCACAGAGAAACCCTGTCTCGAAAAACAAAACAAAACAAAACAAAAGCTTCCTTTCACTTTGGCCTTCATATCCAACTGCTAACGGTAACTCTTAAAAGCGAGGCTCCGCCCTATCTCCACTGCTGGTCTCCAGCCTGCCTGGGATGAGGATGCACTTCTGGTCCATGCAGATGGGCTGTCTGACTAGGCATGCACGAGCCCCGCCCCACTGGCTCTGCCCTCGCATGCAGCAGCGACAGGAGCTGAGTCCTAGAGTTAAGATATGCCAGCGGAGCCGCCTAGAGAAAGAGGTTATGATGAACGGGGTGCGGGGGGGTCACATATCACCAGACTACCTCCGGAGACAGTCTCCAGCCAGGCCTGGACTGCTGCGCGGCGTACGGAGGGAAGGCCGGTCACTGAATTTAAAAGAGAGTATAAATGCAGAGTTAAATACTGGTAAGTTCTCAGCAGGGAGAGCTGGAGTCAGTCCTAAAATTCAAAACAGAGGAACCAAGACATCGTAAGACAGGGCCACCCGGCACTGAGCAGCATGTGTGTGTGACAGGTATTTGGGACAAGAAGAGAGGACAGAACCAGAGAGGGCAGCTCTGACCAGGACTGCTGAGTTGTCCTTGTCCCCATCTTGCGGTTCATCTTGGTGTCCTAGGGAACAAAAACATCACACGAAGGCCTAATGTTCCTGCGGACTGGAAATGATCTTCTACAGACTCAGAGTTTTACAGGACAGGTAGCCCTGGGTGGCACCACCTGGTGATGCCGCCAAGGGTCCCTACACGGAAGACAGATAGTCAAAGAGAATGACATATAGCCACAGCACATCTAGATGGCTTCTGCTTTCTTTTTTACTGCTATTCCTTAGAAGAAGCCAAAAGATGGACATGGTGGTACCAGTTCTGGAGGCTGAGGCAGGAGGATCTTGAATTCAAGGCCAGCCTGGCTAGCTCAGTGAGACTGTCTTAAAAAAAAATAAGAAAAGGAAAAAAGACAGAAAGAAGGGGGTGGGGGGTGGGGAGCATGGTGGTGCACAGCTTTAATCCCACTACTTAGAAGGCAGAAAAGGGTGGATCCTTGTGAATCTAAAGCCAGCCTGGTTCACACAGCAAGTTCCAGGCCAGCCAGGGGTACACAGTAAGACCCTGTTCAAACCATCAAACAAGGAAGAAGCCAGAATAAAATACATTTTCACCTTAGTGGGAAACAGACCGCGTCACGTCAAACCTGGAGTTGACAATGACACCAGGACACCAGAGGCCCCTGGGATGTCCCTCTCCTTACTTTCACTTCTAAACAGGCTCCCTTCTCTGGTCCTGCCATGCACTCATGCGACACCCACTCTGCCGACACACTCGCCCTGCTGAGAGACGCAGGAGGCAGCAAGTTCTAGGGTCTTCTGAGCCAGGCCCACTTTCCTACTCTGCATGAGCAGAGACAGAGTTGGCTACCTCCTAACTCACAGAGAACTTTACATATCGTCGAATGAGAGTCAAGGACAGGGGTCCCCCAGCAGACGGGGCCTCTGCACCCATGGGAGGGTCTGGGAATGGGTGCTTAGGATGCACACTGGGCTATGGGCTCAAAAGCAGTTACCTCTAGAAGTGGAGGACTCGGAGGTCGGGAGCATCCTCTCCTCCGCCTCCCTTTCACGGATGTGTGTCCAGTGCACATCGGCCTGGATCGCCAAGGGATCTGCTGCGGTTAGGATCTGCTGCAGCCTGCTGCTCCCGGCTAGGGCGCCAGGTCCCCAGGAAAGAGGGCACAGGGAGGACAGAAGGGACAGGCGACAAGGACAGGAGGGAGAGGACGAGACACCACAGGAAAGAAACAAAGAATTACAGTGTTTGCCGAGACGAGTTTGAGTCAGAAAGAGGTAAAAATCAAGAATGCCTGTGCACAAACACACACACACACCCACACACACACACACACACAAGCACGTGCGTGCACACACACACGCGGGGCACACGCTCACACTTTCTAGTCATTGGTTTCATTTAGTCATTTTGAGCTCCACATCACTTCTGAGTTTAGTGAGGATCCACACACTCCATCTCCAAATGCAGAAGGAATTTTTCCTTTCCATAATAAAACGAATCCGAGGCCCACAATGCCCAGGGTGGGACAGGACAGATGACCCTCACTGTGTAGGACCATCACTGCAGGGGCCCAAGGACCTGGCCTTTAGCTGGCACAGCGCGAGCGCCTGTCTATCCCAGGTGGCCGAGGACGGCGCCACTCTGCCAGGAGCCAGCCAACTCCCCGGGACAGACATGGGCTCTGCTGGGACTTTAGTTCTCACCCTCTGCACTAAAGCAGATGCCCGAGAGGACACGCCCTCTGGCCAGAGACCACATGGCCATGTGCCGGCGCTGTGGCGGGGGCACTGACAGGGCGCAGGCGGTCAGCATTTGACGGTGGGGGCGGCAGCTAGGGATGAAGCAGAGATCTGTCCTGTGAAGTCCTGAACTCCAGCATTCAGGCAGGAGTGAGGCCACTACCCGGCCCTACTGTGGGGGAAGCCCCTCCTTTCTTACAAACTCCACCCGAAGCCCTTCTGGCCCCTCTGGGCACAGATCAGCCTCTCCGCTCACTCGCCAGGGCTCCCGCATAGGCTCTTGCTGGCAGTGCCTGTGGAGTGCACATGCAGCCCCTCCCCGCAGGACCTCTCATTAGTGTTCGGATCATGCCACACAGCAGGGTTAAGATAAAGGGACAGCCAGGAACTACGGAGCGCGGGGGTGGGCGCTGAGGGGGAGGGGACAAGCTAGTCAGGCAGTAAGAGCAGGTGCCACTAATCTGAAGGATGCTGGGGCTTCTGCCAGAAGCCAGTTTCCACTTGGGAGTATATGCTCCCCCACCCCGACACCCCTAATTGGGATCCGCCTGTCACCACAGGGACAGCTCCATAACGAAGTCGTGAAGGTGTGACATGACGCAAGGCCTGAGCGAAGTCTCCCATGTGGATGTTACATTGTACGGTAGAGCGGCCCCGCAGACTCTTACTGTCTCTAGAGACTCAGCCCACCCCAACGGCAGTCTGCCCAGACGGTGCTGGCAAGGGCTGAATCACGGCAAATTCACCAACAGCTCGGTTGTGTCAGGACCAGGGAGGGTGAGACACAGAGACAAAGGTTGGTCCTTTCTTTGGCTTCTAAGCAACAGAGGGAAGAGTTACGCCTTTTCTCTGAGCACGGTTCTGCCTTCTGCCAGCACATGCGGCCCTGTGTTGTGTGTGTTTTGTGTGTTGTGTGTGGTGGGGCGGGGGTGGGGAGGTCCTGGGGTGAGACCGAAGAGCTATGGTTAGGCAGCAAGGTTTTACAGATAACGGGAACTCGGAGCAAAAGCTCCAGGGCTTGCCGGTGGGGCCCCATCCCATAAACACTGCTGCTGGGAATGTGTTGATTGACGCGCTATCCTGTGGAGGCTGCGTCAGCACGGGTGCCCGGCTGGGTACGCTCAAAGCCTCTGCGAGCAGCTTTCTAAAATGACCTTTCCGTGTGGGACCTGCTCTTGGAGGCACATTTTAGATGGCTGCACGGGAGCTGGGGTAGAGATGGGCAGGGGGCAAAGCGGGTACCTTCACATGTACCCTTTTCTTCTTCCTTTGAGAGATGCTGGAGCCACTGGCCTTGCAGGAGTTCTCTGTCCCAGGGGCAATACTCCCCTTCTACAGCAGGGGGAGCCAGACACCCACAGACAGCACCAAGAAGCCCACAGGGGGACAAGTGGAGGAGGGAATGGGGGGGGAGGAAAGAGAACAGAGAGCAGAGTTATCTATCCTAGCTGCTTGCCAGAGTGTCCTGCCCCCTGACCACACAGGCATCCAGGTGTGCTGCCCCAAAGAAGCAAGGCAAGCCGGGGACAAAGGAACATCCAAAGGCCGGGCTGAACAAACTGTGAAATTCCCAGCCTGGGAAGTAAAGTCTTCACAAAAGAAAAGGTGGGTCAACTTTCCCAGAGTGGTGTGGGGGCTAAAAGCTGCTAGGTAGTCATCGTCACATACAGATAATGGCATCTCAAGTGATTCAAACGGAGTGTCTTTCCCTGTGGCAGCTGTGAAGGGGATGCGCTCACTCTGATGAGCGTGAGCTCACGGAAACTCCGGGCCGGCATGGTGAGGCACACATGACGGCATAGAACTTCCATGCTCTGGCTAGTCTGGCACATTCCTCCTTCATGTCTCATGAAATTGAGTGAGTCTGCCTAGATTCCACTCTGGCCTTCAGAGGGGTCGGTGCGGAGGAAGAGAGACGATGCTCTCTAGGGAAGATGCCTGAGCATCACCAAGTGTATAGATCCTGAGCCCACCAGGATGGTCCTGGGCGGGGAGCGCAGAATTCTAGGACAAGCAGGGCCAACTAGGAGGTGACATTGCCACCGATGGCTGATTAATTCTCTGTAAGGAATAACTCGGGAGCATGGCTGGAAGAACACGTGCTTGTCCCTCCTTTTGGCTCTGTGTCCCCAGGGAAGTAAGCATGGCTCTCCTTGGGGAGTCCACCAGTCCTGGATCCTTTCTAACCATCCACAGGCCTTCTGCAGCCAGGGAAAGAGAGACAGTCTCAACACAGTCAAGTCCCTTATGTCTTGAGGTCACAGCCAGACAGGGGATGAACAGAAACATCTCAAGTCCAATGCAAGAGGAGCCTGAGAAGCAACTGGAATGGCTGGAAACTCAAAACCTGAACACATGCTTCAGGCCCCAAAGGTTACTGACTATGTGGCTGGGGCGGGTCTAGTGAGTACCTAAGACAGCAGCAGCCGCTATCCAGCACCCTGGGCGACTCCTCACAGGAGCTAACTTTGTCTTATTCAAATAAAGTTCTCTACATGGAACTGAAGGGGGATGAGAGAGACAAAGAAAAAGTGAAAAATGGAAGCAATCTACTTGGACACAGTCCTCAGATGAGCCCTGCCTGCCTTCCACTTCCAACTAAAAATACGAATGTAGACAAGGGACAGATTTCTCAGTTTGCCAGACATTGCGTCCCATCCAAGGCCTGGAAAGAGTGAGGGCCAGAAAACTCCAGGTCCTGAGGGCGGCATCCATGACACCTCTTACACTCACACCAGAAACACAGGCGAAGGGGTGGGAGGTGGGATGGGGTCAGGACTAGAGGAGACCGTTCCTAACCTTCACTTGACTCCTCCTCTTCCTCTTCATCATATTCTTCTTCTTCCTCCTCCTCTTCATCCTCCTCCTCTTCCTCAGGCTCGTAGTTCTTGGAGGCCTCCAGCTCCTCTTCACTCCTCCCCTTCAGAAGGGCATGAATCCTGACTGCCTCCTTCCAGGGAACCCCGCCCAGGTCAGAGGTGGGGAGCTGATCGTCTTCGTCGTCCTCCTCTTCCTCCTCCTCCATCTCTGACTCGGAACTGCTGAGAGGAAGAAACCACAGCCCGAGTGAAGGAACGACAGCATTGCGGAGAAGGAAGGTCCAAAGCCACTGTCACGGTAGCAGTTCCCAACAAGGCAAGGGCAGGAAGCAGGCCAGGCTGGTACCCTGCCCCAGCCAGGGAAGGGACAGCGAGGAATGCAGTAACAGGGGCAGGACAACAGACACATGTACAACACCGATGCAGACCTACCCAAGGGGAAACACGGCCTTGTACAACACCGATGCAGACCTACCCAAGGGGAGACACGGCCCGTGGGGCACAGCGGCTACTCAGGCACACCAAAAACAAATAAATAAATAAATAAAATAAAAACGGGGAGAAGATCCCTGCTTGCCATTGTTCAGCTGGAGGAACTCAATTAGACTACGCAGATTGGTTGGAAGATTACAGTGAAAGCCACGGGTGGGTGGAGTCGGGGAAGAAGCCCCAAGAGGCTGAACTGGCAGGCGGAAGTCAGTGTGTGTGTGTGTGTGTGTGTGTGTGTGTGTGTATGGGGGCACACGCTGAGGACATGGCAGCAGATCCAATTCTGTGTTCACGGTGAAGTGTAGTCAAGGACCCAGCACAGGTTCAGCAGGGACCCTAGAAAAGGCCCCGCCTCCTGGGGTCACCCTCAGTCTTCTCATCTGTCCCCTTCACAGCACAAGGCCAGCGCAGCCCGGGATGAGAGTGGTACTATGTTCACCAACTCTGCCAGGACAGAACTCCGACCTCTGCTCCTTCGGGCCCTGCCAAGGTAGGCTGTACAACATGCAAGATGCAGTTGCATGTGGCTTTGCTGGAGAGGTTTCTGAGTTGGGATACTTGGTCCTTTGTCAGAAGTAGGCATTGGACCACGCCAGAGGGGGAAAAAAAATCTGTCTTTAGGACAAAGCACAGGGCTGAGTTCTGGGCCCAAGCTCCACAGGTATGAGGAGTGGGGGGCTGCTCAGCTTCCTGGGAAGGTGGTTTAGCTCCCCACAGCCCCTTCATACACGTGAGTCAAAGCACACACTGAAATGCAGGCAATGGCGCTTATTTTGAGAGCTCTGTCTGAAGTTGGGGGGGGATCTAGGATGACCTCTGGCCACACTTTTTATTACAGGGGAAAGAGGAGCTTTAGACTGAAGACTAGATTAACTGCATGGACTATCAAAAATGACTATGTACATAATGGAGTCCCAATAAAAACTCCAAGGTTCCAGGTCTGAGCAAACGTGACATCACTTGTGGAAACCAGGACAGGAATGCTGGCCCCACTCCACAGGAGCAGGACAATGGGAGTTCTGAGCCTAGCAGTTTCCTGGACTCTCCCATGAGAAAGTCTTTCCATGGCGGAGCCTAAACATCAGCATCTTCCCCCACTATAACAGGCCCTAGTCATGAGCATGACAGCTTCCAGAAAGTTCTGCGTCCCTCTCAAGCAGCTGAGCTCCATGGCACTTCTGGAAAACTGTACTTGTGAGCTGGGTCAGAAATGAGGATACATCCTCTCTTGTCTGCAGCTAACGTCTCACAGGGACACAATGACATCTCTGTCACAGGCTGGGTACAACCCTTCACTCTGCCTCTGTCCTACCAAGTCGGTCATTAATGGCCCCTCCTCCCACTGTAAGGGGGCCCTGCCAAGAGCATGACAGCTTCCAGAAAGTTCTACATCTCTCTCAAGTGGCTGGGCTTTATGAAGCTGTGGTGCTCAGCTGGTAGACCACGTGATGCTGGCCTCACAGGTACGTGGTGAAGGCCAGGAGTCTTAGATGAACACCATTCTGACACTGCTTGTTCACCTCCACACCCAATCACTCATTTGTTCATGAATTCCCCCCCCCTTCAAGACAGGGCCCCATTATGTAGCCCAGGCTGGCCTGAATCCTCAGTCCTCTTGAGGGATGGAGTTAGAGGTCTGTACAGCCATATACTGCTGAAAGACCATTTTGAGACCCGCTATGCCTCAGCCAATGGGCACACTCGCTCAGCTAAGGTAGACTGAGTCTCCCTGCACCATACTCTCTGAGTACTGGGGATGGCACAGGCGACCCAGGAAAGCCCACGCATATATATCATCAGAAGATATGTGTTGGGGTGTGTGTGTGGTGTGGCAGAGATCTGGGAGGAGGTGGTTTAAGTGTAAACATCTGGCCAGATGTGGTGCCTGCCTGTAATGCCAGAACCTGGGAATAGGAGGCAGAGAGGAGGTTCACTGCATGTTCGAGGCCGGCCTGGTTTCCACAAGTTCCAGGCTGGCAGGGCTATAGAGTAAGACCATGACTCAAACAAACAAACAAATGAACAAACCACAGGAGAAGAGGAAACAGAAAGGATGGAAACAGTGGCCCCCGAGTTCTGAGCATTTCCCACCATGTTTACTGCCCCAGGCTTCTCCACTTAATATGCTTCCACCAGTTCATTCTCCTGTTAATGCCGTGTGCCAGGAGTGACGCTCACCGCTGCTCAATCTGAAGGACACGGGGACTTTCCGTCCTTCCAGCATGGCTCAGTGTGCCCAGTGGCTTGTCTGGACAGGCCAGGAGGGACCTGAGTGTAGCCTGACCTCACCCGTGTCGTGTTATCAGGATGGCTGTACCGGGCATAATTCGGGTGATGAATACATCTCTCTGTGGCGATGACAGTGGCGCCCCACGATGGCTGTTAGTGCTACTCCAGCTAGTTTTATGACAGCTCAGGGGTTGTAAGCGTGTGCGGGAGCGGAAAGGTCAGCCCCCACTTTCCTCTCCCAGCGGGAGGCATAAGCATTTGTTGACGCATTTGTTTGCTCCAGCAAAGCAGCCTCCCTTGCAGGGAGGACAGAGAGAACCTGCAGGAGCCAGGAGAAGCTTCCTTCCCGCTACGTCTATCACAGAACCTTAGGGCCAATGTGAGGGCTGCCCAGCTCTTACATCACACCAGAGTCAAGGCGTAAATCCAGGCCCTCATGCATGTCTGGCAAGCTACACCCTCAGACTCAAGGCTCACTTTAGATCCTCCAGTTGACCCCGGTGTCTGAACCTCTGGTCCTAGCCTCTTGAGGCGGAGGGCAGGATCCCACAGCAGTGTGTACGTCGTTAGACTATAGTAATGGACACATTTTAGGTGAGGAGGATCCATACAGTAGCAAAAATAACTTTCTTCCTTCTAACGAAGGGATAAAGTCTCCTAAGAGAGATGGGGACCAGGACGACTAATCATCTCCTCAGCTGGGCCTGGAACATGGTGGGAGGCTGATGTAGGGATGTAACAGGTTCAAGGCCTGCCTGGGTTACATGGTGAACTTAAATGGCCTAGGCACCTGAGTGAGACCCCATCTCAAAATAAGATTTAAAAAAAAGAGGACTGGATGTATAATTCAGTAGAGCTCTTGCCTAGCATGCCTGAGCTGTGGGTTCAATCCCTGAAGCACAGGGCACTTCACTTGTCTGATTGCTTCATTTTCAGGCACCCCCCACCCCCCATGCACTGCCTCAGTCACGTGAACCCACCCTTCTCCCGTAACTTGACAGTGATTCAGTACCAGCAGTTGTCAGGGTGGTAGTCCCAAGAATTTGGTCCAGACACACGGCTCTGAGAAGGATATCATGGAGTTGGATGTCAAGCTCCCTAGGGTCCCCTCTCTCCCTCCTTTCTCTTTCATTTTTCGGGGCCTCATGTAGTGCGGGCTGACTTCACATATTTATGGAGCAAGGATGACCTTGAACTTTTCCATCCTTCTGCCTCTACTGCCCAAGTACCGGGATTACGGGAGCACAAAACCATATGCAGTGCTGGAGATTAAATTCAGGGCTCTGCGTATGTTAGGCAAGCACTCCACCAACCCAACTACTTCCTCAGCTCCTTCCCATTGCAATAGGAAGGAAACAGAGTCAAATGGCTTTGACTCTCAGGTTAAGCTGCTAGTCAGTGACTCCAGTCTTCTCTGCCACACCCCTGGGTCTCACTGACCCTGACAATACTCTGTTGACCTGCAGGGACTTAAAAGGGCACACACTGTTCTCTACATTCAGCCCTGGAAATCGCACATGCGTGTCAGTCAGGGATGGCATTCCTTGCTGCCTCTGTTGGAAAAGGGGCAGAGGGGGCTCCTGTTTATTCATAGCCTGCTTTTCCTCTTGCTCCTCTGCTGGTGCCGTCAACTTTGGGGAGTCCTCTGAAACTCTGTCCCATTTGCAGGAGTTACTTGTTTGTTCCAGGGGCGCACTGGCTGACTGATGCGGGATTCCCCTCTGTATGCTGTGAATACCACTGGTTAATAAAGAAACTGTCTTGGCTTATGATAGGGTAAAGAAGTAGAGCCAGGCAGGGAAAACTAAACTGAATGCTGGGAGAAGGAAGGCAGAGTTGAGAGACACCATGGAGCTGCCAGAGGAGAAAGACAAAAGCCGCCAGCTGGAACCTTGCTGGTAGGGCACAAACCTCATGGTAAAATATAAAATAATAGAAATGGGTTAATTTAATATGTAAGAGCTTGCTAGGAATATGCTATAGTGATTGGCTAAGCAGTGATTTAATTAATATGGTTTCTGTGTGATTATTTAGGGGCTGAGCAGCTGGGAACAAATAAGCGCCCTCTTACAATAGCTGACTTCATTTTTTTTTATTTTTTCAAATTTTTTTTTATATTTATCAGTTTCTTATGTTTATGAGCATTTTGTATGTCTGTGCACTACATGCATGCCTGGTGACTTCAGAGATCAGAAGAGAACATCAGATCTCCTGGAGCTGGAATTACAGAAGGCTGCGAGCCACCATGTGGGTGCTGGGAATCGAACTTGGGTCCTCTGCAAGAGCAACAAGTGCTCTTAACCATGTAGTCATCTCTCCAACATCTGAGTATTCTTTAGAGGTGGTGGAGAGCAGGCAGTAAGGACCCAGGGCCTGGACCTAGATAGAAGTCTGAGTTGGAATTTCAGGTCCTGTGCTAGTTACCACCTGTTCCTCCCCTACAAGAGGACAAAACACACGGCCCATATCTATTTCTAGGACTCTCATAAACACATACACGGTCAGGAGTGTTATTCCCCAGAAGTCCCCTGAGCGTAGCTCGCCTGGAGAACTACATTTCCCAGAAGCCTCTAGCGTTCCACGCAAAGGCTGCGCAGGTGCAGAACATTGCGTTTGCCGCACGTGAGTGGGGAACCCTTTAAAAGGCTGGAAAGCCGTCTGTTCTTTCTCTTTTCTCCTTCTCTCCCGCACGCAATAAAGCTCGTGCTCCACGTGGGTTTTGTTGTATCTTGTGTACTCCTTTCGCGAACAAGAAACAGAAGAACAGAACATTGGTGCCGAAATGACTCGGGAGCTTCGGCTTTGCCCAGAGCTCCCTCCTCGCTCGGGGGCACGGTCAGGACCAAACAACTCAGGAGACTGCCCGCTCCAGGCCGAGGACTGCTCCACAACGAGACCCACGAGACCCACGTAGTCCATCTGCCTGAACGTGGCCTGAGGCTCAATCGTGAGTTTTCCCTTTCGGCTAGCTGAACTGCCCCTCTCACTCGGAAATTGAGCTCCCAGCTTCCCTCTCACCCAGAAATTGTCCGATTGAGCCCCCGGGAGCTAACACTCACAACCCCCCCACCCCTACCCCAGGCCTTCCACCCTCGGCTGGACCCGTGTTTTCACCCGCGCCTGGAAGCTCGGAGCTTCCAGTTCTCACCTCTTTTTTCTGCTCTTTTTCTGTCCCCTTTACGTACTGGCTGCAACGGGCGGCCTCCCGGCCTGACAGTTTCCCTCCTGCCCGGGATTTCGTCTCCCGTCGGAGGCTAGGATCAGTTCAGTCAGGCTATAACACTGCCCCCTGGTCACTCAGACGCCTGTGTTCAGGGCTTGCTAGTGTTCGTGGCATCTTTTGGGTGCCTTTTGCGGGTGTTTCCACGGTTCTAGCCATGGGTGCTAAGCCTTCAAAAACAATCCCCCCCCTCCCCTAGGACAGCTTTTGGAAGCTCTTCAGCCTCATGCCCTAATTCCTTCCATTAAGTTATCTACACTTACCCGTACTGCTCAAAAACATGGCCAAAATATTCATTAGATGGAAATTTTAAATGGCCTCCTCATGGCTCCTTTGACCCCGATATTCTACGGCAGTTAGCTAACTATTGCCACCGTTCAGCTAAGTGGAAAGAAATGATGTATATAATGGCGTTCTTTTACATGGCCCTTAAAACTGACCCCTCCTCAGGCTTAGAGCCCTCCCCAAAAGTCCCCTTTTTATCTCACCTTTCGAACTCATGTATGGGTGGCCCATTCTAACCCCCGGCCACCCACCTAAACCCCCCCCTTCCTGATCACCTGCTCACGCCACTACTAACCCATCTACGCTCGCTACTGTGGGATTTTACCGACCACTCATTACCTTAACCATGTGCTAATCCATGTCCACCGCCAATTAAAATAGGAGAGCAGCTGCTAAGGTCGAGGGAATTCCTCACTGGATTCACCTGTCACATCTTAAACCATTTACTCCTCCAGCTCAAGACAATCCCTCATACACACACCTTAACGACAACCCAGCTACCCAAAAGCCAGACAGATGTGATTTCTTCAATCAGCCACCTCAGAACGTCAGCGGACAGAACATGATCAACAGGACAATCGATACTCCCCGGATCCCTCAACGCCCAAAGTCAGCAGGAAGCAGTTATGAGAGACCGGGCTACGTCCCTATTCTCTACCCATTAAGACTCTCAACCCCCCAGATTTTTAATAAATTAAAAAGGGTGGAAATGTTATTCCCCAGAAGGCCCCTGAGCGTAGCTCGCCTGGGGAACTACATTTCCCAGGAGCCCCTAGCGTTAAAGCTCGTGCTCCACGTGGGTTTTGTTGTGTGTTGCATCCTTTCGCATCCGAAGAAGAGCAAGCAGAAAAAGCAGCAGAACAGAACAAGGAGCACACAGAGGAAACTACAAACGTTTAAACATGCTAAGGACTGTTAAACACGGTGTTCCTATCTGTCCTTAACTTTCACACTGATTTGAGGAAGACACTAGTGGTGTTATGTTATAGATGAGGAAACTGAGGGACTTGCCTGCTTCACAGCTGAGAAGGAGAAGAACCAAGATAGCAACCCAATCAAACGGGTTCAAATTCCCTTGCTTATCAAGTTCTTTTGCTGTCAGCTGAATCCGGGGACCCAGTAGCCAGACACTAACCTGCTGGCCACATCCTCTTCAGTGCCCTTGTCTAACACGCTGCTCAGGTTATGCTCGGCCTGCGTCTCCTCGGGCACCTCCTCCAGCTCCTCCACCTGCCTCACAGACCGACGGTAGTTCTCCAGCTCGATCCTCTCGGGGGTGCCCCTCAGCCTCTTGGCGATGCTGGGCTCCTCCAGGCCATTCATGCTGGAACCTGTGGGGAAAGCAAACGTGCAAGCTCTGAGGAGGAAGGGCAGAGCGAAACTCCAGCAGTGGATGATAGGAGCTGGTGCTGGAAGAGAGGGACTGTTGACCACCGGGACACTCGTAACTCATTTCTCAGGAAAAGATACACAATCTTCCTGGAAGTCAGAACATGGGCGACTGAAAGCTGGAAGGGTTGTGGATTGGTTAGAGGCAGGAAATGATGATGGTAGGCGTGGCAATACTTCCCTAAGTAGGAGACACAGAGACCACACAGCCTCATCTGTTCCCGGTCAAGCCAAGATGGAAAAATACCATCTAACAGGTGATGGGAACGGGGTTGGGTGGGGAGGGTCTGTGCAGGGCCTTCAGGTGGGTCTCTCATCATCAGGACTGAGTCACAGAGAGGGTGTTGTCCTCTTGGTGGCTCGCACCAAGATGGGCTGGCAGCACTCTGCTAAGGCGTCTTGCAGGCCTGCAGACTGCATAGCATCTGTCTTGTCCTGTCGCCATGCATCTGAGAAATACTTTGTAGATCAAAGCAAGCCACAGAGGTGGTGCTGAGCCCTCTGCATAGCTGCTCAGTGGAGAACGGAGTCAGGCCTGGCAGTGGGGGGGGGGGCGCGGGTGCGCCCATTCCCCATGCGGACACACAGGCACATGTTTCCTGTAAACAGTGATGAGGAGAGACTTAGAAATCGCAGTGCTCTGCCCCGTCATTCTCTCACTTAGGGATCTGAGCGTCTGTCACTGACCGGTCATTCTCTCACTTAGGGATCTGAGCATCTGTCGATGACCTTCGCTCGTCTGTTAGAATGACGGGGGTCACTGGGAGGCATTTTTTGAATTCTACCATTCCTACAGCATATCTTGCTTTTGAACAATACTATAGATTTGCCGTGTTTCTAAAACTTAAAACATCACATACAAAGCACCCATGTCTCTTCCGTCTCCTTCAAGCCACAGGAGGTGCTCTGTGTCCTTCCTCACCAGCACTGTTCCTCTCTGATACTCTTTAGCATCCCGGTTCTGGTCACAGCCCCTCATGTACTCTGTAGTGTGCCTTCTGTGTCTTGACACCACACGGGTACACTCGGGTAAACCCAGCTCTGACCCTGACTCCACCAGTGCCTGGCAGCATTGGAACACGGTCCAAGACTGGAGTTGTGTGAGGAAAATTTTGAATGCTTGTGAGAAAATGCCAGCTAGACAACACAAGGGTCTGAGACCTGTTTCTTCAAGACAAGGAACTGTGCTTAGAATGTGTTTTCGTGCTCCTCCCAAGTGTGGCTGATGGGGGGGAGTTTACTCCCGATTACTCATTACAGCTGGCCATTGTTAGTTCTTTTTATGCGTCTATGGAAAAACATGTTTTTCTTGTCCTTGTGATTGCATGTATACAGCCTGAGCTCATGAGAACTTCCTCATACAAACGGTGTTCTGAATAAAGTTGTCTATTACACGAGACTTTAGTCTGCCTCATTGTTAGGCTCCACCCTCTCAGGTTCCACCACTTCGAGAGTGGTGAACATGGCAGACAGATCTTAGGAAAACTACAGTCTTCCTGAAGTCATACCCTGGCCTGTGGGCAGGATGATGCCTGCCTCCCAGGACTGGTATGGGTGTGACGGTGCCAACTCTGGATCCCCAGCCTACTACCAGTTATCTTCTTCACCCACAAAGCGGAACTCAGCAAATACAAGTGAAGCCGCATACCCAATGTCCAGTAGCATTCAGTACCCTTGCGGTGCATACTCACAAGGCGGGGTTAATGCCCATTTACTCTGGACTGTAAACTCAGTCACCCAACATGGGAAGAAGTGGCAGCCCTGGGCTCATTGCACACACACTTGGGCTTTAAGATACAAAGTGACAGAGAAGAGAGAGGCAGGCGCAGGCCAGCAAAGCAGGCAAAGCAGTTTTCACAGCCTCCTGATGACCCGAGTTCAACCCCAGAATACGTGCAGAGGTGGAAGGAGAAGACCAATTCCATGAAGTTGTCCTTTGACCTCAGTATGTGCACTGTGGCAGAAACCTTACATCGTACACACACAACAACAACAATAAATGAGGTTGGTTTTTGTTTTTAAAAAGAAAAGACAGCCCAGGTGTGAGAGGGTCGAGAATGAGCTATAGGTTCTGACTAGGGCAGGTCCTGGCTGCCGCTGCATTCTAAGCACCAACAGATAACACTGGAGTTTTGCATGCGATGCCACACCAACCCAACTTGGGAGGCAGGTGTCTTCTCAGGCAGACCTGAAAGAGTTTAGCAATTCTGGTATCCTGACTAGTTGTACAGGAAATCCTCTGAGGGCTGGCATTTCTGCTGTGTACAGCTTTTTGTTGTTGAGACAAGGTCTTGAGCCCAGGCTGGCCTCAAATTCACTATAGCCAAGGACGATTCTCCTGCCTCCCAAGTGTTGGAATTAGAGGCGTTTGCCACCATACATGGCTCAATACTGGGAGAATGAATGCAGGGCCTCATGCATGACGGGCAAGAACGGACCTACAGCCTCTGCCTGTAAGAGTTTTCAACCCTTGCCACGGCACGGGAGGTTTTCTATGAACACAGGCAGTACAGAGTTCGGTCAGCGCACCTGCCGCAAGCTCCAGGCTCTTCGACAGCAGCAGCTTCCAAGGTGATGGTCAGTCTGTTGATCCAGGAAAGAGTATGCGGATGGGCTCTGACCGCGCATCCTGGGTTTACCTCTCCACATCCTCTCACCCTCGGATGCATCGTTTTAAATACCCTGCTCCCTGTTTCACAGCCTCGAAAGTACAGGTTACACACATGGCTGCATGAGTGCGTCTGGGAGCTAAGAGCACGGTCTACAAGAGATGGCCAGGCAGCCAAGCAAGTAGAACCTCCTCATTCTCCAAAGGAAAGCGGCTGCCCAGGCCTCAAGAGGGCACAGGCTCCCAGCCACTGCTTCATCCGTCCTTCTTCATTAGTGCTCACGAGCTCCACAGGACTCGCGGACCACACACAGTGGGAGTCTTTCTCAGCATGAGCCTGACAGTTGCTCTTACACGGAAAACAGAGGAACAAACACGAAGCAAGCCCACTCCCCCAAGTAGTAGCTTCCCCAGAACTAACACTGAGCATTGCCAGGGTTTCTCTTTGATGAGAAGAGAAACAATCACTTTGGGGCAAACAACTGACGGTCAGCAGCTCTAACCCCAGCAGGTTCAAGGTGGAATGAGCAGACGCCCATGTGGAAATACACCACGGAAGCAAAGTTGGGTTCGCAGTGTGCTGGGAACTCTGTTAGAACCTTGGGGAAGATGGAGGATGAAAACCCTTCCCTTCTTACATAGACTTGTGGACAGCATGTCAGGCGTAAGTTATCGGGTATTACGAGAGACACATGATCGTGCCGCCATGAGAGACCTAAGGAAGCAGTGTCGTGTCCTGGGTATTCAGGGAAGGTCTGCTGAAGAACTGTAGAGCCAAGCAGCTTTAGGAAACCCACTGCGAGACTGGCATTACAATTTGTAAACCAGGTGACTGAGGTCTGCAGACACCTAGGTGCCTGGGGTCACACCTCCTGGATGAAATAAGAACTGAACTTCAGGAGGGCAGTGACAACTCAAGTGACCACCATGCTGTTCCTGGACTTGGAACACAAGAAGACACTCCCAGAGTCCGAGTCCTCTCTCCCTTTCGAGGCTTCACCGTACTGTTCCCCTGTGGTTCATTACATGAGATAATCTCTTACAACAGAGAAGCTGGAGCCTGGCATGGCAGGCATTCTGCCCTCTGCCTGGTGTTACTTCTCTTGAGATTCTCCAAACTGCAGACTAACGGACCATCATGCGTCAGAACTTGGCAGTCCAAGCCCGAGCCTGAAACTCTAGGAGGAGGACGGCTACACACAACAAGAAGGGGCAGATGGAGTCAGACCCGGCCAGGCCACTCAGACTTCAGGTGGCAGGAAGGATGCTCTGCTAACTTTAAGTATCTTGCTGGAGAGTTTGCAAAAATCAGGCTGAAGGCCTGACTTTGTGGCTTGCCATTATAATCCCAGTCCTCAGGAGGCTGAGGCAGGAGCATTGAGATGACCTTTAATCCCAGCACTTGGGAAGCAGAGGCAGGCAAAGCCCTGTGAATTCATGGCCAGCCTGGGCTACATTGTGAGACCCTGCTGCAAACAAAACAAAGCGAACAACAAACTAAAATCAAAGTAGGCTGGAGGGATGTAAAGGGTTGGGACCGCAGCATAGCTGGAAGACAGCTGCCTGAGCATTCATGAGGCCCCAGGGCTCAACCCCAAATACCACAAAAACCAAGTGTGCCAGCAGACCAGAAATTCAAGGTAATTAATTCTTGGCTGCACAGGGAGCTCAGGCTGGCCTGGGCCAGAGACCCTGCCTCAAAATCAACCAATCAACCCATCCACCCATCCAGCAACAATACGATGGAGAGAGTAGTGCCACCTCTGCCCAGTGCCACTCACCGAGTTCTAGCTCACCAGAGCTTTTGGTGACAAGCGACTACTTAGGCAAGGAATCCCTAGTTCTAGGTCTCACAGAGGCTCAGTTTTCCCGAAGGAAAGATGACATTCTGAGTATGTTGGTAGGTACCCAACCCTCTGAGAATGCCAAAGTGGGGGGTGCACACTTCCAGTCCACAACCTTAAAGAACTTCAGCAAACACAGTGGAATGAACCAAGGAGATGAGCATCCTTGATTCTTTGTACTGACCAAGGAGCTACCCGACAGACGGATGGTGAAGACAGATGCAAATGGAGAGGTGGAGGACTTTGTGGTGATGGCGACACCTTCAGGACCCTGGCGCATCCCCTCCCATGAGCACAGATGAGTTCCTGGGAGAAGGAGCTGTGAGAGACAAGGAGTGAGAATTGCCAGCACCAGTGCAGTCTCAACCCTGGCACTGAAAATGCCTCCAAGCTTGCCAGTCACTTAGGCCGAGGCAGTAGGATTGTGTGGGCCAGGAGTGCAGTGTAACACATGGAGACTGTCTAAACAAGCAAACAAACGTAAGGCTGG